GCCTTCCTTCTAGTCTTACACTGCTAAATTAGGGACGGCTAGCGCAGATAGCCCTCGTGTAGCTTTGCGCGAAATTCAAAAACAAACAAACAATTAACTCTAGAACTTATTTTTGCTCATCCTCTGAGATTTTTTTATTAAGTATAAAAAACAATGTTTTTTTTATGCAAACAAAATGAAAAGAGTAAATTAAAGTCTTCAACTGCGTTTACATGAAACGCCGAAACTGTATTGCAAAACTAAATATCGTTCATCGTGATTAAGGTGAGGTGTGGAAAGTATTTGGTAGCCTTTCCATGGAAACGATAAGTTTTGAGTAAAATAAACTACTTCGTTTCTTAGAAGGTTTTTTAACCTTGTACGAGTATACAACCAGTATTGAATACAGACCTTTCCACTGGTGGAGAGAATGTGAAGCTGGGGGAATGAATTAAAATCAAAATTCGACAAAATGGAAAATAATGCATTTCAAGGAGAGATGTTTTTGCACAGGGAGAATTCCCCCCTGTACATCCCCTGAATTCAACACTGTAAACAATAATTAGGTGCTACGATATGTATGGTTTACTTGTGAGAGATTGTTTATAAATTTAACATAATGTTTCAAATAAAAAAGAAACACGTTTATTATATGCTTATCTATTTTGTGAAACTCTCAATATTTAATAGTTTTTTGAATACCTTATTATGTTGATATTTTAGTGAAGTAAGTACTGTTAATACTTAAAACTGGAAATTTACACGACTATTTTTCGAGGTTGACAGTTTGTTCACAATTTTAAAGGAATTTAATTCAAGTTAACTTGGCAATGTCACTGTGTCATAAACATTGTGAATGACTAAACATATGTATCAAAAGTTTTAAGTTATTGGTACTATACATTTTCAGCTTATCTTTCTGAAGTATATAACGAGGTTTTATAGTTTTTAGAAGTTGTATAAATATATATATATATTTCTTGAGAAGCGAAAATAGTGTTAAAACAAATAATAAACTTGTTTGCCAGCATAATCAAAAGTTATCATGGAATATGATGTACGTAATTTTGTTTAAACATTAAAATATTTCGTGTAATCACTTTTGTCGAAGACTTTTTTTTTCATTCAATCACTAAGTGCTTTTGGGGGATATAGTAAACTTGGAAAGTACCTACAATACTTTCATGTGCTTATGAATTTAATAAATTCCATTAAAAATAACTCTGAACTATTATTTATTTCTTTAAATGTCAGAATAACTGCAGAATAACAGAAAGTACAACCACATTACAACGTTATGGGTTACGGTTTTAAATTCAAGTACAATGTTATGGGTTATGGTTTCAAGTTCAAGCACAACGTTATGGATTATGGTTTCAAGTTCAAGTACAACGTTATGGCTATGGTTTCAAGTTCGAGTACAATATTATGAATTATGGTTTCAAGTTCAAGCACAACGTTATGGGTTATGGTTTTAAGCTCAAGTACAACGTTATGGTTTCAAATTCAGTACAATATTATGGATTATGGTTTCAAGTTCAAACACAACGTTATGGGTTATGGTTTCAAGCTCAAGTACATTTGATGACAGTTATTAAACGGCATGCTTTGACAGACTGACTGGGCAGTTTTTGACTATTCAGTTGTCAACTTTACTTTTTTTTCGTAATTACTTATTAGAATTAGCATTTATTATAAACTATTTATCTTTTTTCTCCACTTAGTTTTGCCAATAAGCTCATGTTGATAAATAAGTGTTTCAACTATCATGGTAATGATAAGTTTAATGTGAATGTTTGTTGGATATATTATCGTCATATCCAATTGGTATTTATCTATAGGGGATTAGTCGATCTTTATAAGAACGACCTGGGTATTCTAAGGTATAATTTGTGACATCGACCACTTGACAGTACAATGTTGCCACGGGTAGTTTATGTCTGGTGAAATATGTCACACCCACTTCTGACGAAGAATATTTGTATAATAAAACTTTTAGACGACGTAGAGTCAAATGAGACAAAATTTGGAGCAAATGAGTTTTCTTCTGCACTCTCTATGGAAACGGACAAACTCGCACATCACAGATCTTAGGACAGTGAAGGACTCTGATACCCCATTCTAAGTCAATCCGGAACAACTCCCTCATCTGCCAAGTGAAGGCTATATTTACGAAAGAAATCCCCTTAGCCCCAAAAGCCATTTTGATGAAGTAAGTATATCTCCTAGTACCGTTATTAAGATAATAAATAAGGATCTGAAGTTGGCAAAGGATCGCAAGCCATGAGTTCAGAAGTTTCCAGTTAAACATCGAAATTAATGTCGGGTTTTCTTTCGAGAGATAATTGAAGAAACTGGAATCATTGCAATCCCATTCAACCCTGATGTGACTCCAATGGAAGTTTTGTCTTTATTTTTCTTGGTGTTGGAAGTCGATGTCCATGTACAGCCGACGTTATGTGAAAAGCTTGTTAATGTGGATGTTCTAAGATTGATTTCGTCGTCCTTCGCAGAAGTTTGTTACAATGGAAATTACAACGTTGGGCAGTAAAATACTCACCTTCCAAAGACTGCCCTAAGAGTAATTCATCAATTGTGAATATTTAATTTTGTTCATGTGTTAATGCCTCCCAATGATTGAGCGGTAAGTCTGAAATCTTATAACGCCAAAAACTGGTTTTCGTCAGCACAGATGACACACTGTGTAGCTTTTTTTTTAAACAAAAAGCGATTATTTTATTTTTCTTTGTATTTAATTTTGTTCATGTGTTAATGCCTCCCAATGATTGAGCGGTAAGTCTGAAATCTTATAACGCCAAAAACTGGTTTTCGTCAGCACAGATGACACATTGTGTAGCTTTGTGCTTAATTACAAACAAAACATGTATTCTCTTGGCTTTCTAGTATTTTATTGTTCCCTTAAAAAATATGAAAAGCAAAATGTTTTCAATTTTGTCTTGCAATGTAATGAAAAGAAAACAACAACAACATTGATTTGCTTGAAATTTAGTCACTAAGGTCCTACGCTAAGATATTTTGTAAAAAGATTACATAAATTAGCTAAAATTAACACCTTAAAATCATTGCAAACAGCACTTTACTGGATGAGCCACATCATCATCAGACAACTTTAAACTGAAACAGCATTTGTTCCAACCAGCCAATGTTGTCTGTACTTGTGTATTAAACAGATTAACGGATATACCTGGATGTATCTTAGTAGTCGTATTACATTTTTTTAAACAAAAAGCGATTATTTTATTTTTCTTTGTATTTAATTTTGTTCATGTGTTAATGCCTCCCAATGATTGAGCGGTAAGTCTGAAATCTTATAACGCCAAAAACTGGTTTTCGTCAGCACAGATGACACATTGTGTAGCTTTGTGCTTAATTACAAACAAAACATGTATTAATACATAAGCTTCATCAATGTTTATCACGACAGTTTAATAAACCAATGAGAAAATAGTCATTCCAAACAATCTTATCGAAATATACAGTGGTTATCAACGTGTTTGAGAAATTGTTTTTATAATTCAAGGAATCTAAAATCTTGTTAGGTTTAAACAAAGCTTACACAGAAAGTTTTACATTGTATCTATGTCCACTTTTAATCAAGCACGTGTCAATGATCTGGCACATTTTAGAGCATAAAGTAAACATAAACAGTGAAGTCGTTGTCCTTTACGATAGGTCTAAATTTTATCAATGAAAAGGATTGTTGAGTAACAACTACTAACATAAACAAAATAACCCTTAATTTCAAAAAACATATTCTTATCCAGTCACATTTAAGTACAAACTTTGTTTGGTCAATGCTTAGAAAATCTAAGATACGTAATAAGGTTTTTAAAACAT